TTCTACACATATTGATGAAACATCTCCCCAAACTTGGTTTGTTCTCATGTTGGGCATTATTTGAACCATTCCCTGGTTGATTATCTGACCATCTGAAATTCGGGTTGTCTTCATCCTGGGTTATATGTTTGCGAATATATGTTAAAATTGAGAGAGCCATTCTGAATGAAGTTGACTTGTTCATCGGGAAAGCTCATAGACATACAATTTTCTGTTAAATAGTTAGCTCCACAGTTTTCACAAGATGGACCACCCATCACTACATATGCTTCTCTCGTTTGTGATTTCACCAATAGCTCTACCCGCTTTGTCAAAGCTGCTATCTGCGCGTTTGTAGATGTTGTGCTATCTAATTCATACATTCCAGATACTCTCGGTGGTACCACTCTTTCTAGTGAAAACATTGAATGTGTAGTGGTAATTAACTCAAATAAATCTATGGCTTGTTGTACTGATTTTCCTATGATCGATCCACCAGCAGAGGAATCCACTTGAGATTTTGACGGTGGTGAGAGTTCAGTGGAGAAGTACTGCACTTGATTATCTATTTTGATTCCATAATTTGGATACTTTCACATCAGCTCTTTGAATCTATTACATGCCTCATGATAGCTCTCTCCATATTTCTGTTGGAAATTTTGAATTTCCAATTTGATTTTAGCTACTTTTGCCGGTGGGAAGAATTTATTGCATAATTTCTGACCGATTTTTCCCATGTAGTAATACTTCCACGCGGTTCAACGTCTAACCACTCTAATGCAACATCTCTTGGTATATACGGAAATAATCGTAACTTAATAGGGTCTTCATTAACCCCCAGAGTATGGAAGTTTTGACAAATCCTGAGAAATTTGGAGATATGTGTGTTCGAATTTTCATGAGGTAACCCGTAGAATTGGAGAGTCTTTCTCATCAAATTGATCAATTCTACATTTATCTGAAAATTGTTTACTCCGAAATTTGGATACACAATACTGGAACGTGCAGACGCGACTATGGGCATAAAGAATATTGAAATTGACAAGTCTCCTTCATTTATTTTCCCTCGCTCCTTGCTGATCCGGTGGCGCCGCTAATCTTTCGGCCACTTATCCAATTGGCTGAATAGGAATAAGAATATTTTGATCGTCATCCATTTGATGTTGTTCTTTTTGTTTGTGTTCTTTGCGTCTTCATCTGAAAGTACGTTCTATTTTCGAGTCAAACGGTTCAAGATCATTGCATTGAGTACGGAGCATATAACGAACTTTTTTTTTGATAATAAAAGAAAATAACACCAAATAACAGTTAAAAATAAAATAAACTAAAAGTAAATAGTTATCGGCAATTACGCCAAAAATTAGTTGTTTTTTATATCGTAAGTGTACGATATCGTAACAAGCAGTATAGTGAACATTTGAGTCTGGATATCGTTCCCACGAAAACTATACTTTAGGACTCAATCAAATTTTTTTCTAACTCATTTGATAAAAGTGAGTAAATAATTATAATGGTTGTGATGATTTTTCCTAACTACTTTTAACTAATTGAAACTATAAAAAAATTGCAAATAACGGCTAATTGAAAATTCAAATATGTGATGAATATTAGGTATAACAATTTTATCTATTGACCACCTTAATTTTTAATTCAAGATTCATAACCTAATGTAGTGTTCGATCGATTTTTTCTATTGTATTCAATTTAAACCTCTCGAGTTCTCATTGAACATATTTAACTAATTAAATTATATATCTCTATATGAATCAACCATAGTTAAATGAAACACTATTTCTTATAATTCATATTCTAACCACAGTAATTAGTATATGTACCTCTACACGTTATATTAATTTACCGAATTTATTATATGGTATAAACCTCAAACTCACCTCTCGATTCATAGAGACTCACATAATTATTAAATTATTGATCGGGTAATTTAATGTATTAAACTCATAATAAAACCAACACATAAATAAACAAATCACATAATCTTGAATAGAAAAATAAAGGATTACAAGTCAACTACATTATTTTCCCTAATATAAAAATTAGTTATTCATACTGTAAAAATAAAAAACATAAAAGTAGAACGACATCATCAAAAATTGATGAAACATGAAATTTTTCGGGTCTGCCTTTCTTCTTTTCTTTCTTTCCCTCCCGTCTTTTTCTCCACTTTTCTTTTTCTTTTTCCTTTGGTTTTCTTCTCTCTTTTCTGCATTTTTCCCCCTGCACCGCAGTTCTCCTACTCAACGTTTTTTCTCTGCTTCCATATATATATATATATATAT